GTACAGCCCACAGCTAGATCCTGTGTATTTTGGGGTACAGCCCACAGTTAGATCTTGTGTATTTTGGGGTGCAGGTCCATATTTATACCCTTTGCATTTTGGGGTTGCCAAGTGTATAGGGGTACAATCTCTCAATTCTATCCCAGCTGGGAATGATGTCAGTCTCAGTCTACAGTCTTGAAGGATGCACACGGTTTGGACAGAATCTGCAATCTTGTTTTCAATAGGTAGGGTTGCCAACTCTGATTGGATATATTCCTTGCAGGGGTCATTACATAGCCTCCAAATGCCCCACCCTAACATTCCTGCTATTGGTCAATCCTTATAGTGTTCCCCCTCCCCCTTCCCACAGCCAGTTCGAAAACAGACAGATCCTCGTTACCGTACTGGATAATGAATGACCATCAGACTTTTCTCCCATCTCTAATATTTCTGGAACCAGTGACACAAAATTGTTCAATGGTTTAAGTAAAAGTGGACAGTTTTCTGTCACTGCCTCCAAGCTGTTGCTCCTGTTAGATGTGGGTGGCTATGGGATGAATATTTCATTGCTGAAGGGTTGGTCGTTAGCAATAATGCAGTTGACCTGAAACCTTTGCTCCTTTGCTTTATAGATATTGTCGAGGGAGTGGTAAAGAAAGGAATTTATCTCAACGGAAATACAGATGGTACATTCCTACACTTTGGCAGTTACAAAAACTCCTGCATTAGTGATCCAGCACAATGCAGTGATGCAGGTTGGTCTAATTGCTTTGATAGCAATTATAGTAATTTTCCCAAGCTCAATCTGCCGTAAATTCTGAATGAGATACTTTTTGTAAGATGGCAGCATTGCAAAGCTGGAAACACGGCAACCAGCGTGTGCATAGAAAGATCTCAAAAGAGGGGTGTGACAAATCCAAATGTCTTTTATTTCCAAATGTTGTTGTTAAGAGATAAGTATTGTCCAGAAATAGGGCAATAGGGGCCTTTGGGATTTTAATGACAGTTAGATCCATAAGTACATGAATAGGAGAGTTTTAGAGGGATATGGGCCAAATGCAGGCAAGTGGGACTAGTTTAGTTTGGGAATATGGTTGGCATGAACTAATTGAACTGAAGGGTCTGTTTCCGTGCCCTATGACTCTGTGATCCTTGCTGTGCTTCCATTTCATAAATAATCAGAGTTAGTTCAGACAAAAGCAAAATCAATACTATGGATTCTGGCAAATCTGAAATAACTCTTCATGTTGGAGAAGCTTGGCAGGTTTGGCAGGGTCTATGGAGACAGAAAAACAGAGTTGCTGTTTGGAGTCCAATCTGACTCACACTGTCAGCCTTGCTGAGTTGCAGCTCTGACAAAGGGTCACTGCACTTGAAGCAATAACTCACCTTCAGGCACGGTTGCCTCATCTTATCCTTAGCATGTTTCTTCTTCTTTGGGATATATTTCTGCTGTGGTTCCTGAATTATCTCCAGAAACACCTGCCATTACTGCTCCACCATCTTCCCTGTTAGGTTTCCCTTCCAATCCAGCTAGCACTGCTGCCTCACAGCGCCAGGGACCCGGGTTCGATTCCAGCCTTGGGCGACTGTCTGTGTGGAGTTTGCACATTCTCTCTGTGTCTGCGTGGGTTTCCTCCGGGTGCTCCGGTTTCCTCCCACAGTCCAAAGATGTGAAAGTTAGGTGGATTGGCCATGCTAAATTTCCAGGGATGGGCAGGCTAGATGGATTAGCCATGGGAAATACAGGATTACAGGTGTAGGATGGTTGGGTGGGTCTGGGTGGGATAGTCTTTGGAGGATCGTGTGGACCTGATGGGCCGAATGGCCTGCTTCCACACTTTAGGGATTCTATGATTCTCTCTTCCCATTGGATGCTGCCAAACATAGGAAGTTTCTCCAGCAGTTTTTGTTTGATTTTCACCAGATTTGGTTCACAATGTGCAGTGTGCTTTGAACTGACAAGAGGAGTGAGTCTTTCCTGAGACTCTGGGTCAGTAAGGACAGGGTGAGGTGTTTAGGCTGATAGGAACCTGAATGAAGGCCACTGCGTGCAGGTGGGAAGCAAAGAGGCTGTTGCACCTACTTCCTGGGATAAATGTCCTTTGTTGCTACAATGCTGTGAACCCAGCCCTTGTTTTAGACACAAAGCAATTGGGTTTGTTCCTGCTGCAGATTTAAACATCGTCCACTTTGTTTCTAGGTGTGACGTTCTCCTTCTTCTGGAAGAACTTGGAGAAGTGGTCTGGGTCCACCATCACCTCAGGGGGGAAGGTACTGTCCAGTGGATTCTCTATCTATGCCAGCGTTGACGGAGGCTACATAGAATTTTACACACGTAATACCTTACGCAGGTGGAAAGCAATGATCGACCCACCAGGTAAGGTCGTACTCTCGGAAAGGCAACGTCCTCTCATCTTTGTACATTTGCAGCCCGTCTTTGAGTCAGGGATCACACACTTATCAATGAAACAGCGAATGGGAATTCTTGGAGTTGTAGGGCCATTCAGCCCCCTCGAGCCTATCCCATGGCTGATCTGTGGCCTAATTCCATCTAGCTGAGGTTTTGTTGCCATCATTGTCTCTTTGTGTGGCATTAGGTTTGTGTGTTGTCCTGAATTGTTAATTTATTCCCAATATTTTTTCCTACCTCTGCTTGTTAACATTGCTCATTTTCTAATGTCGTCCTCTGGGTGTTTGGCTATCTTTTAGAGGTAAGGCGTGGGGTTTCTCAGGAGCCTAGTAGTGAGTTGCCTTCAGAGCACATGACTAATAGGAATGGGAAGCAAACAGAAAAAAATACTGAGGTCAATTGGGTTTGCCTTCTCCCATCCAAAGAGTCACATGATGCAATCAATGTGATCAATCTGGATCAATGAGTCTTGAACGGATCCAGAGATGGAGTGAGAAGAAACTCCGAAGGGGAGCTTTGCGAAGTTTAGAGTCATACAGCTCGGAAACAGACCCTTCGGTCCAACCAGTCCATGCCGACCATGTTCCCAAACCAAACCAGTCCCACCTGCCAGCTCCAGGCCCATATCCCTCCAGACCTTTCCTATTCATGTACTTATTGAAATGTTTTTTAAATGTTGTAACTGTGCCTGCATCATCCACCACTTTCTCTGGAAGTTCATTCCACACAAACCACTCTCTATGTAAAAAAGTTGTCCCCCATGTCTTATTGAAATCTTTCTCCTTTCACCTTGAAAATATGTCCCCAAGTCTTCAAATCCCCCAACCGAGGGAAAAGACCTTTGCTATACACCTAATCTATCTATGCCCCTTATGATTTTACAAATCTCTATAAGGTCACCCTCCGATCTTGTACATTCCAGTGGAAAAAAGTCCCAGTCTATCCAGCCTATTTTTATATCTGAAACCCTCCATTCCTGGCAACATCCTGGTAAATCTTTTCTGAATGATCTCCGGTTTAATAATATCCTTCCCAAAACAGGGCAACCAGAACTGCACACAGTTTTCCAGGAGAGGCCTCACCAATGTTCTGTACAACCGCAACATGACATCTCAACTCCTACACTCAAAAGTCTGAGCAACGAAAGCAAATGTGTCCAATGCCTTTTTAACCAGTTTCTTCTTAGCACAGTCTATTCATTGGGCGTCAGGTCTCAAGTTACTCATATTCACCGTCCTCAAATGTGAATTCAGAAAAAAAAATCATTTCAGCTTGTACTTGAGTACATCATCATTAACAGTTTCCGTTGACAGTCAATGATGACCCTGAAGAGAGAAACAGAGTTCCATTTAAGATCCTGAGTGAATACAACTGGTGGTCATTCCAAAAAAAAACCCTCCCACACTGTAGGAAGGATGTAATGGCACTGGAGAAGGTGCGGAGAAGATTCCCCAGAATGTTGCCTGGGCCAGAGCAATTCAGCGATGAAGAGAGATTGGATAAGCTGGGTTTGTTTTTATTAGAGCAGAGAAGGCTGCAGAGTTGAACCAGCTGAGGTTAACAAAATTATGAGGGGCCTGGACTGTGTAGCTTGGGAGAAAAGTTTTCTTTTAGTGGAGGGATCAATGATCGGAGAGAATAGATTTACAGTAACACGCTGGAGTTTCACAGGGGATTTGAGGAGGAATATTTTTCATCCACAGGGTGGTGGGCATTTGGAATTCGCTGCCTGAAAGGTTGGCAGGGGTGGGGCCATCACAACATTGAAGAACTATTCAGATGATCTCTTGAAGTGCCGCACCATACAAGGCCATGGGACAAGTACTGGGAAGTGGGACTAGAGTAAATAGATGCTTGATGACCAACATGTGCATGATGGGCTGAAAGGCCTCGTACCAAGCTGTAATACCCTATGACTCTACAATTCCGAACTTTCAGTGGAAACGAGCCCTCTGACTGGTTTGAGCCTGATCAATAATCAGTACAAGCGGCATGAAATCGTCTGGAACAGTCTAATCCCAACAGTTGTTGAAATCCGAGATAACAAGGTGTACAGCTGGATGAACACAGCAGGCCAAGCAGCATCATAGGAGCAGAAAGGCTGACGTTTCGGGCCTAGACCCTTCATCAGAAAACGCGGAGGGGAAGGGGGTTCTGAAATAAATAGGGAGAGAGTGGGAGGAGGATAGAAGATGGATAGAGGAGAGGATAGGTGGAGAGGAAACAAACAGGTCGAAGAGGCGGGGATGGAGCCAGTAAAGGTGAGTGTAGGTGGGGAGTTAGGGAGGGGATAGGTCAGTCCAGGGAGGATGGACAGGTTTTGGGATGCGGTAGGGGGAGGGGAGATTTTGAAGCTTGTGAAATCCACATTGATACCATTGGGCTGCAGGGTTGAAATGAGCTTGAATTCCAGTTTGCAGATGATGGAAATAAATGGGCTGCTTGTTGGGGCCATGGGGAGTAAGGAGTTGGGATTGGTGAGGTAGTGTAGGGAGCAGTGGGAGGATCCAAGTCACTGATGGTCGGCCTATTGAATGTTAGAAGGTGCTCTGAAAATGGAACAAAGACTGAATCCACACTTGATGTTCTGAAAATCTTCCCCACCCGTAGACAAAGCAGTGTTGAGTCGGGCGGGGGGGTCAATTGAAAATGTCAAAGACTGTCAATTTTCAGGGGATGGTTGTGAGGGACCAAATCAAGATGGTGGTAGGGTGGTAACCTGAGGTCAGCCTCCTGCTCTTGCTCAGCCAGCTGGTTGCATTCTTCTTCGTTCTTTTTTGTTCGTTTCTTCACTTCTCTTTTGTATCAAAGTTCACCTTTTTCTTCTTTTCTGCGGCTGTGGTGGGGGAAGGTGGTTACGAGGGCCTGAGGTGGCGTTATGGTGGTTCTGGCTGGTTCCTCATGGCTATGGCGGCCGTGTGGCTGCTTCACTGGGGTGGGGGTGGTGGGGGGTATAACTGAAGCGGTGACAGGTTCGGCATTAGGTGAGTTGGTGGGCCGGGTCTGTCCTTCCTTGCGATGGTGGTGATGCAGTGGCTTTGCTGTTGGCTTTGGAGATAGCAGTGCATTGGGTCCTGTACAGAAATCCCTGCCTAGGCAGCCTTGGGTAGCTTTGGCATTCCGCAGCTACTGCATAATACCCAGGAGACATGGAAGGAACAAAAGATGAACTTTATCTCGATTATTTATTTTTATAATTTCTGGAATTAAAATGACAGCAAATTGTTGCGACTCGTACACATCTCATTGTATTTTCACAAATACAAGTGACAATAAATTGCTATTCTGTTCTATAAATGGTTGCTGTACAAATCTGACCACTTTGAACAGGCTCAATAGACTGAATGGCCTCCTCTTGCTTTTGGGAAGATTGCTAGTGAGTAATAATAGTTCTAATTATTTTAAATGCAGCAGTGTGACTGTAGCTTTCCTCGATGAACTATTTATCTTTTTTTTTGTACGTTCATGTCTCACGACAGAATCTATGAATTGAATGTGTGTGTGATTGGCCTTGCTGCCAATTGAAGGATCTGGAGAGAATTACAAACAAATGACTCAGGGTGAGGAGACTGAAACTTTAGTTGATGTTAATTAAGAGTGAAGCACAATGGGCAGTGATTCCAAAGCAGTGTAGGGGCTCAGCTAAAAACCCAAGTGAAGTTACTGCCTTGAAATTATTCTCAATTATCTGTTAGTTTTTCAGTTTTCGGTATACAGTGTGAAGCCTTTGAGAAAATTTTACTTGATCTTCCCTTCCATACAGCCTTTCAGTTTTCCATTGAGAAATGTTGGCAGTGTACCTGTGTTTTAATTTATCTGGAACTATTTTACAAAAGGTCCAACAGGGAGTATAGAATTATTCAAATAGTGCAAAGTTACAGCTCCAGCTCTTTAAGGAGACAGCGATGAGAAACTGTATTAACGTGATCTCAAAGTTAGTTTTTAAATAGTGTTGGGTATGGAATTTCTTCTCTGAGTCCTGGTTTTGAGTTATACTGAAAAGGCAGAGGTCTAGTTTCTTGAGGTTGTCTGTATGTTTGTATGCACATAGCAGTTTATCCTGCAACACCTTCTAATCAGGTTATTTCCCATTGTCAGGAAATTGCAAAGATGCATGCTTTTCAATGTGTGTGTGTGTGTCTGTCTGTGTGTGTGTGTGTACCGACCTCTGCCTGTGTGTCTGTAGCTGTGTTCATGTGACCCACTGACTCACTGTTGTCAAACATGGTGTAAGGGGAGGCAATGGCCTAGTGGTATTATCACTTAGCTATTAATCTGGAGACTTGGGTAATGTTCTGGGTCCACGGTTCAAATCCTGCTCTGGCTGATAGTGGAATTTATTTACCAGCTAATGACAATTGTCAGGAAAGACCCATCTGGTTCACTAACACCCTTTAGGGAAGGAAGCTACTGTTCTTATCTGATCTGATCTACATGTGACTCCAGACCCACTGCAATGCCTTCTGGGCAATAAATATTCGCCTGGCCAGTGACACCCACCTCCCATGAACGAAGAAAAAAAGAATCTGTAAGTCAATTGAATGAGTAAAAAATTTGAACAGTGAAAGGAAAAATACTAGCTTAGTTCTGAAGTTTCACAGCTTTGCCAGTGGATTCATTTCAGCTCATTGTCTTCCAGGTCCTGAATGGACACACATTCTGTTCACATGGACCTCTGGAGGTGGCCTAAAGATTTATGTTAATGGGACATTCAGCACCAACGATACTTATGGGAAGGTGGCTGCGGATAATGAAAATCAGTATGCTAATCTGGCTGGCACAAAGAGCGATCAACCGTACCGTCGCTATGTGACAGGGTCATTCGATGAGTTTGTTATTTGGGAACGGGCACTCACACCCTATGAGATTCAACTATACTACAATGCCACTACAGGTAACCTGATGATGAAACCGGGAGATACATTTATATTCTCTGTGTGTGTGTATGGTGCCTTTCCCTGACCCACTGTGGTCCCAAAACCGTTGCCTATGTTACATTTCTACAGCCCCTTGTTGGCTATGAATGTCTTGGGCTGTCAGCAATGGGAAACACCAGAATTTAAAAGGCTAATGGGATAGAATCCAGGCATTTACTTTCTTTTAGTCAGAAGTCTATTCTGATTTCAGAAACAAAAAAGCAGCAATTGCTGGAAAAGCTCAGCAGGTCTGGCAGCATCCAGGGAGAGAAATCGGAGTGAATATTTTGGGTCCGGTGACCCTTCCTCTCTCCTTGTTTGAGGCGTGGTGACCCTCAGGTTAAACCCCCACCAGCCATCTCTCTTTCTGTCTAATGAGAGAGCAGCCAAATAGTCTGGTCAGACTATAGTCACTTCATGTTAATCTAAATAGTTATGTTGCTGGGACGTATTTTTCTCTGGACTTCTTTGCTTCCTTCAATTGTGGATTGTGGATTTTATGAACTTTCTCAGCAGCAGCAAATGATGTGTGATCAAACACTCAAACAGAATCATGAATAATTGACCATCGTTATCTCTCCCCAGGTCCCCATGGATGCCAGACTGAAAGTGTCTCCGTCTCACCCCAGGGGCAGTCGGATTCTCGTCCTGTCACAACAGATGTCCCAGTAAGTCTGTGAATTGAATTCCTTCTGCTGCGAGTTATTCTGCAAACTGTTCTGAGATAAGATCGGGGGCAACGCGAGGAATCTGTTAATGGTCCAGTCACATCAAAGTGTTTTTTTATATATTCTTTCCAGCTGTCTACAGTCACTTATTTCCCAAGGACAGTCACTCCTGAAGAGGAAACAGAAAGTCGTCAGTCTCCAGTCACTCCTGATGGCTTCCTGGATTCCTCCTTAGTCCTTCCCAATGAAACATTGCCACATTACACTGCCTCCAATCTTACTGAGGTAACGTCTATTTGCAAAGAAGTAATCACATCATTGGACACATGCTGATGTCTGTGTGTATTGTATGGATGGCAGTGGAGTTTTGATATCTATTCTTTCTAACCAAGGTTGACCTGTTCCTCTTCTGTACTTCTCTAATGGGGATGTGGGCATTGCAGGCTGGGCCCAGCATTTATTACCCATCCCTGGCTGCCCATTGAGAAGGTGGTACCTTCTAGAACCGCTGCGGTCCATGTGCTAAAGGTAGACCCATGATGTCCTCAGGGAGGGAATTCCAGGATTTTGGAGATGGCCATTTTCCAGCACTTGTGTGGCCTGAATAAGATGTCAAAGCTGATATAGATCATTCAGCCCATTGAGTCTGCTCTGTTAGTCAATGAGATCATGGCTGATCTGATCATCCTCAACCTCACTTTCCTGCCTCATAACCTTGATTCTCTTACTGAGTAAAAATCTGTCTCTTTCAGCCTTGGATGTACTGAATAATCTAGCCTTAACAGCCCATGGTAGGAAAGAGATCTACAGATTCACTCCCCTCTGGTGAAATTCCTCCTTTTCGCTGTCTTAAATGGGCAACCCTTTCGTCTGAGATTGTACACTCTGGTCCTAAATTCTTCCGCATTAGTTTTTTTAAAATTAAATTCAACTTTCACCATTGTGGGATTTCGAAAGTTGAATTTAAAGTTTAATTTTTAAAAAATGTCAGGGGCTGTCACTCTCACTCTCTGGAATTCAGCTCTTTTGTCCATGTTTGACCCAAGGCTGTAATGAGGTCAGGAGCTGAGTGACCCTGGCGGAAACCAAACTGGGCGTCACTGAGCAGGTTATTGCTGAGCAGGTGCTGCTTGATAGCGCTGTTACTGACACCTTCCATCACTTTACTGATGATCGAGAGGTAATTGAGAGATGATCGGTAATTGGCCGGGTTGGATTTGTGATAGACAGAACAGTACATAAAAGCAGGACATACTTGGGCAATTTTCCACACTGTCGGATAGATACTAGTTTTGTAACTGTACAGGAACAGCTTGGCTAGGGGAGCGGCAAGTTCTGGAGCGCAAGTCTTCAGTACTATTGCTGGAATGTTGTCAGGGCCTGTAGCCTTTGCAGTATCCAGTGTCTCCAACTGTTTCTTGATATCACGTGGAGTGAATCGAATTGGCTGGAATCTGTGATGCTGGGGACCACTGGAGGAGGCCGAGATGGATCATCCACTCGGCACTTCTGGCTGAAGATTGCTGTGAAAGCTTCAGCCTTATCTTTTGCACTGATGTGCTGGGCTCTTCCATCATTGAGGATGGAGATATTTGTGGAGCCTCCTCCTCCCGTGATTTGTTTAATTGCCCATCACCATTCACAACTGGATGTGGTAGGACTGCAGAGCTTAGATCTGATCCATTGGTTGTGGGATCGCTTAGCTCTGTCTATCACTTGCTGCTTTCTCTGTTTGGTGGCTACACCAGGTTGACACCTCATCTGCAGGTATGCCTGGTGTTGCTCCTGGCATGCCCTCCTGCACTCTCCGTTGAACCAGGGTAGATCCCCTGGCTTGATGGTAATGGTTGAGTGGGGGATATGCCGGACCATGAGGTTACATGCTGTTTGGTGAAACTGATCCTTAAAACTAACACCTTCATCTGCTCGAATATTTCAGTGTGATTTGATCGTGGGTCTTATTTGTTGTTGCCCCTGTAAAGTGTTATGGGATGGTTCACAATGTTAATGGTGCTATCTGAATGCAAGCCCTGTTGCAGTTGTAGTGTGTTGAGAGGGCTGTGATAATGAAAAAGCTGTCTCAGTCACACAGGAGTTGCTGTAAGCCCACTCACTGTTGTGCATGTTAGAATCTGACATGTTGATCACAGTGTCACTGGGGCCAGCCACTAACTGGATTCGTTTGTTGTTTCTCTAGAACTTCCTGCAGACCGTTGGTGAAGTTCTGGCATTACCCAGTTGGAGTGGAACAGCAGAGGTAAGGCAGCTTTACTTGCCTAGTGCTGATCATGAAGCAGGTCACAGTGACTTCCCTTCAGAGGTTTTCATTAGCATATCACAATTGAGGAGAAATAGCAGCCAATTTGCACACAGGAAGATCCCATAAACAACCATGAGAAAAATGGCATAATGGATACATATTGGCCAGAGCTCCAGGGAGAGCTCCCCCGTTAAGTCCATAAGAGGGTGGAGGCTGGATCCATTTGGCCCATCGAGTCTGCTCTGTCACTCAGTGAGATCATGGCTGATCTGATAATCCTCAACTCCATGTACTGCCTTCTTCCCTCCAACCCTTGCTTCCTTTGCTGATTAAAAAAATCTCTCTATCTCAGCCTTGAATGTACTCAATGACCCAGCCTCAACAGGCTCTGTGGTAAAGAATTCCACAGATTCACTCCCCTCCGAGAGAGGAAATTCCTCTTTGTCTTGGTATTAAATGGGTGACCCCCTACTTTGAGATGATGCTGTTGATTCTGGACTGTCCCATAAGGAGAAACAGCCTCTCCATATCTGCCCTGTTAAGTTCCTTAAGAATCATTCGATAACATTCCCCTCTCATTTTTCAAAATCTCAATGAGTACAAGCCCAATATACACAATCCTTGCTCATATGACAGTCCCTCCATACCCAGGATCAGCCGAGTGAACCTTCTCTGGAGTGCCTCCCAGTACCAGTCCTTGGATAAGGGGTCTAGAACTGTTCACAGTATTCTAGCTGTGATCTGCCCAGTACCTTTTACAATGTGGACTGTGTTTGCTTACACATACCCCGTGAGATACTGTTCTCTTTCTCCTTGGTGACCACTCACCTCAGTGTCTTGCATCCCTGGTTCATCCTGCAGTCAGTCTCTTTTAGATATTTCCCTAATCAACCTGTTCACGCATATTACTACACAGTGCTGGAGCAGGTGCGACTTGAACCCAGGCCCCCTGTCTCAGAGGTAGGGACACTATCACTGTGCCACAAAACTCTTCAGTACTGCATTACTCTTAATTGGCACTTTTATAATGAGTAGCATTGAGTATAAAAGCTGATAAGTCATGTTGTAACCATGTAAAACTTTGGTTAGGCTACATTGACAGTACTGTGTGCAGTTCTGATTGCCACATTATAGGAAGGATGTGGAGGGTGCAGCAGGGGTATACCAGGAGTGGAGCGTGTTATCTACAAGGAAAGGCTGAACGGGTCCAGAGAGCAGGCTGTGGAGGGGATCATTTCTGTCAACTGCCCACCCCTTTTCCGTGGCTATGTTAGAGCTCGGATAACCCTGGCGAGGGACCACACAGTGTCTGTAATGCTGTCGAGGCCTTTTGGGAGCGGTGGGCATGGTGGGGGCTGGTCTGCTTTCTTTCTGCCATCCAACTCGATTTTGATTTGATCCTTACCCTCCCCTTCACTTTTCATTTCACATCGGCATTGCCCCTACGGGGGCTCTGCTTGGCACAGGCTCCCTGGCCATGTGGGTGTTTTTTTCCTGGTGGTGGAAATGTTGAATAAAATTATGTTGCACATGGTGTTTTTACTGAGAGCCTGCACTTACACACACAGCATGGGTGCTATGGGGAAAACCAAGCTGTATGGCAGTAGTGAGGGGTAACCAAAGAGAAAAAAAAGAGATAAGGAGAGAAAAAAAAGACTGAAAGATCTGCGGATGCTCTAAATCAGGAACAAAACAGAACCTGCTGGAAAAGCTCAGCAGGTCTAGCAGCATCTGTGAAGAAGAAAATCAGAGTTAATGTTTTGGGTCTGGTGACCCTTCCTCAGAACTCAGGATAAGGAGAGGTTGGACAAACTTGGAATGTTTTCACTGGAGCATCAGAGGCTGTGGGGTGACCTGATAGAAGTCTATAAAATTATGAGAAACATGGGTAGGGTGGATTGTCAGAGCTTTTATCCAGGGTGGTAATGTCAAATACAGGGGGCACAGGTTTAAGGTGAGCATTTAAAGGAATTGTTGGAGGAAAGTTTTTTACACAGAGGGTGGTGGGTGCCTGGAACATGTTGCCAGGGAAGGTGGTAGAAGCTGATGCGATAGCAACATTTAAGATGCATTTAGACAAATACATGAACAGACAGGGGATAGAGGGATATGGACCAGCAGGCAGATGGGATTAGTTTAGAATGGCATCATAGTTAGCACAGACATTCTGGGCTGAAGGGCCTGTTCCTGTGCTGTACTGTTCTATGTAATGTCATTAGTTAGAGGGAAGGAGTAACAGAGACAGTGGTCTTCACAGAAAACACCCAGGATTGGGTTCGTACTTTGGCTCTGATATTGAAGTGGAATTTATCAAAGAAAATGCTGCAGCTTTGATAAAACTTCTGATCAGTCCAGGTGTAGAGAAAACCTCTAGTGCTCCAGCGTTTTTGCATAATCACTGAGTGTCTGAAAATACTTCCCAGTTACATACTGTTAAGGGTTTGCAGAGATAACAAGTTCTACAAAGATCCAACAAGTAGCACTGTCCAGATACATGTGTATTTGGTTGACTGGTACATCTCTCTGAGAGCAGATGGCACCTCAACCAGAGAGTGTGTCTGAAAGAGAGCAGCTGTGACAGTGCAGTACCCTCTCAGTTCTCCCTGCACTCCGGCGTCAGCCTGATTCTTGTGTTACAGCCTTTGGACTCAAACCTTCCGATTGAGAGCATGCTCCACTGACACACACACACACAGCTGGAATCCTGGGCTGTACTCTACAGGATTTTATTCTATGAATTAGTCGTTGTTGTTTTTATTATTTACCTTCTCTCTGGTGCTGTTTTAGTTTAGATTAGTACGTTTACCTGGTGTCTGTAAGGCCGAGGTTGTATTGAAATGTTGTGTGTTTGGCCCCCAGTCGGTGGCTGTGGTCAGTGGTTTGATTGGCACAGTCGACAAAGTCATGACCCAAGTGGCCAGCAGCCTGGAGGGAAACCCCAGCTCAGCCGTCAGCATCGAGGGAAGCTCCGAGGTGGCAGGTACGTGTCTTACATTCTGCTTCTGCACAATTCACTTCTGTCCACCTCCCGTCCTGGCCAAAGGTGGGGTGTGGGGGACGAAGAAACGCACAGAGACTGATTGAGCCAATCAAATACCGACACAGACACCCCTACAGGCACACGTTCACACACAAACATGCCAACACATTGTCACAAGCAAATACGCACGGGTGGGCATACATACAGGCACACACATAGAGACACACACCGAGTTACACACACACGCAATCTCTCTCTCACACACACACAAACACACACTCTCACACACATGCACACAAACAAACTCACTCACTCACTCAGTCAAATACTCACTCTCTCACACACACACACACACACACACACAGACACACACACATGCATGGATGCCCACACGCAGTCAAACGCGCACACCGCACTCTCTCTCTCTCTCTGTCTCTCTCACACACACACACCCTGAATGAATTGTTGTAAAGCCCATTTTTTTCAATTCCGAAGAAGGGTCACTGGACTCAAGACATTAACTCTGTTTCTCTCTCAACAGCTGATGTCAGACCTACTGAGTTTCTCCAGCACTTTCTGTTTTTGTTTCAGATAGCTAGTGCCTGTAGGATTTTTCTTGTATGATTCATTGCTTTGTGCTTTTATTTCATCCTGGTGTGCTGTTCCATTTTAAATGCTGCTCTGTTCAGTTCTGGTTAAGGATTCTGTTTTAAATATTAATTCTCTCTGTGGGTGAAGACACTAAGTGTTTTTAGTGCTTTCTGATCCAGATTTCCAAAACCTCGGGTGGTCTTTTCCCTCTTCAGTCCTGAGTCAGATCCTATCGCAGAACTTTCAGAACATCTGGTTTTCTGTGTTAAAGTGGAACTGATACAGCATCTGAACTTAGCAGTAAATTGTGACTGAGTTTGTATTACCAGCCCTTTCCCCATCGGTTTCAGTTTAATTTAGAATTTATTGTAACCGTGTGAATTTACCTGGAGATGATATTGTCTTCATTTGGTGTTGTTTTGTTATGAACAAACATTTAAACAGCAACTGATGAAAATGTCAAACACATCTTTTAAATTACAAATGAAATTAGACCCAAATTTAACCTTTAAGCTATTCAGTCACTGTTGTAACGAAGGGAAATGTAGTGAACAGTTTGGATACAGTGAGATCCCACAAACAGTAATGATCTGGTCATTTGTCTTTGAAGTATTTGAGGAACATTTCTAGGCTAGTTTTAGGCTGAATGTAATGGAGCCATGGTACAACTGTGCAGGTGCACAGAGCATCTATGCATGCTGTGCATGTGGTCACGTGAAATGGGGAGCTCTGCACGGAGACAGGAAACATTTGAGGGAACATAGCGATGGATTCCTTCATCTTCAGAGTCAGAGGATTGACATTGAGCTGAGAAGACAGACGAGATCTCCAACTATTGTCCAGATATAGTAAGAACTGCTGATGCTGGAGTCAGAGATAACACAGTGTGGGGCTGGATGAACACAGCAGGCCAGGCATCATCAGAGGAGCAGGAAAGCTGATGTTTCGGGTCAGGACCCTTTTCTGAAGAAGGGTCCTGACCC